CTTATGTTTATTAACGAACGATGGTGACTTTTAATAATTCTAGCCTCATGGGAGCTTTCGCCCCATTCTCCGCACGAAGGCATTTTATCTTGGAAGCTGCATAAACAGAAACGTACCACGTATTAACCTCATAATGGAGGTGTAAGAAACTCTTACATATCTTTATACACACCTTTGCACATCTTTAAAGTTGTGAACTTTTATTTTTCTGTGTGCACTTCCGCCGTAATAACATACGTCCGACGGCAGATCAGAGTACAATGTTCCTGATGTCAGAAAAGAAAGGATGCTCATGCCCTTACTAGTTTTCGTTATCTCCAATCCTCTTTGGGTTCGTTACGTCTGTTCAGGCTGTCATAATTTGTTTTGAGCATATGTTCTACTGTATCAGATTTTGGGGCAGATCCTACCAAATATTTATATATCTTTCTTATCTCACTCGCATAACATAATCCTTTTTGCCGAATGATACCCTGTCCCACAGTCCACTGTGCATTTTAACGATATTTACTTCAGCGCTGTTATAAGTAAAATATTTCGATTGAGCCAGTGATTCTTGGGTTTATACTTTGTACTGCTTATGACATTGGATGGTGAAATATGCGGCTTGTGATGGCGAATTGCAGTAGTGTAAGAGGCGCTCTCGTTATACATCTCGCCCATTTTAGTATGGCCACGCAGCAAATCCACGCTCTCTCTCTGTTATGTACAAGTGAGCGCTTGTTACTTATTTCTCGGTTGGAAATGAATTCCTGACTCAAGGCTGTTAACGGCTAAGAAAATGTTTCTTAGGAGCATAATCCGGCATATCTTCGAAGTTATCCTTTTACCATCTTACCACCAGAACAGCATGAGGGGGCAAGGCTGAAGAAGAGGATAAACAGCATGTGAATGACACCGATAAGGATGAAAATGGCGAAAACGGGAGGATGAGTAAGTTGAACAGAAAATCGAGAAGAAGGGTATGAAATGAGGAGGGGATGAGAATGAAGAAGATGCTTCATCTGAATAAGGCCAGCTTTAATTTTAATCGAATAATATCAGTAAAATAAACGTCGCTCAAATCTATGATAAATCATGCCGTTTCATTAAGTGAGCAGCAAAAAAATTGTCGTTACTTTATGAAAGGAACTGGTAAATTTATGAAATGATGAGCTAGCAAAGTTTCGACTCCAGTTTAATCGTCTTCAAGGAAGTCTTTAAAGTGGTACACAAGAAAGACAGATTGAGTATAATTCAGAACTATGGAGGTTTGCTGTTTGGTAAACGTTAGAGGATCACTCTTCATTGGCAAGATGGCAATGTGTAAGAGGTTGGACTCAGGACGAGCCAAATTCGAGTCCCGCATTGGGTAGTCAGTCTTTGTCTTTACTACGAATTCCTTACACAAGTCATTTACTGCATGATGCATCATGTCGAGGTTACTCGGTTGGTAGTGTCGAACTCAAAACCGAGAGGTCCTCTGTTCTATTCCCAATCAGGGTCACTTCTCCTTCCTTCTAATGTTGATGAATGAATATCACTGTGATAAATGAAAGGGAAGGAGACAGGAGAATACATATTATACTTGTCACAGCTGCGTAGTGTCTGCCCGTAAAAATGAGGCACTCCTGCTGATGGGCATGGAAATGGAGTTCAGCGTTCCCATCACTTACTTGATGAAAACAAGGGTGCTAGAATTGGCCCCATCATATATGTATTAGGAAGATTGACATTTTAATGGTTATAACGTTCTTTTTTTTGATAAAATTGCCATACGCTGTCAGGGGGGTAATGCGATTTGTAAAGCTGAAATGTAATCTTCGTTATGGTTTCTATATCTCTTTTTAAACATGCCTTGCTGTTGTAAATCCATCTAGATAATTTTTTCTCAGTCGGTATATCACAGTGCTTATCAAGTGTGCGCTTTCATATCATAATGATAAGCTTGATGTTTGTTTTACAGGACATTCCGACGCATGGAGTCACTACCGTCTTCGTTGAACTGGGCAACACTAAGATTGAGGTATTTTTGTGCATTGTCGCTGTTGATTTACGTTTAATGTTTTTATTCAGCTCCTTCATCCTCTTGGCGCCAAGAGTCCCATTGCTGGCTTTTTGGAGAAGAACACAGCAGGCGGAATGCATCACATATGTCTTGAGGTAGTATTTTACCTTTTGTAAGAGAATTTATTTTCGAAAGTATTTAATTTGCGGATGTTAAACTTCATGCCTGACATATCAGACATTGCCAGCCAGGGTACCATACAACAGACTTCAACGTGAAGGGTTATGCGTTCCTCTGATTATCACATCGAATATATATTTATCAAATGGACTAAGGCTAATTCCAGCTCTGTACGGTGTTCGCAGCGGGCAGCATGGCGGTACGTCTCATCCTTTCTGGTTGAGCCACACTAGAACACCGTGTTGCCGCTGTGGTTCGCAAGTCATCAAGTTGCTACCAGTTTCTCATCTGGTTGCACTGAAGCAACGTTGGGTAAACCCTTGCCTGAAGGAATTAGCCGTTAAGCGAAAATTATCTTTTGCAGGATTCGAAGCCGGCTCCTCCGGAGTTTGAATCCAGCTACTTCTCCCTGTACCACCGCTTCCATACTTTCCCACTTATTGGCAGTTCGTCGAATTGCCACCCAGTTTTGAAGAAAATTTGCTTTCTTGCTCCTGCATGTTTTCTTTATTTAAACTACAGGTTCCATGGTTGCCACAATTTATTTGTAGTTACAGAGTCAATTTTTGTCAGACAAAATTAATATAAATAGTACAGTACTTCGACTAGAATATAATTACTAGTAAGGTAGAAGTAATATTTACTCATGGGGGTTCAGTGTTTAACATCGAAATTACGATATGGCACAGAGCATGTCGGTTAATGAATGAATTTAATTGTGAAATATGACCACATTGGAACATTTCCTGCTGAAAGTCGAAAGACAGACTTCGAGAGCATATGACTACTTCAAGGATTAACCACTTATAACACTATTAGCCACCATATACATCAGTACCTATATGTATATGAACTCCTATCATTTCTCTCTTCCTGAAGTAACAAATCTGAAACAGCCTCTCGTTTTGCAAAGCAGTTTGCAAACATTTGTTTCAGTGAAGAACAAATCGTTCGACTGGGGCATCGAGCATCGTCGATGACTTTCGAGGCGCAGTCTTTCGGCAAAGCCATAAAGAAAATGACTCTGTCAAGACAAGCATCATGCAACTGGACTATGTAGAAGTTCTGGCGTTGTAGATGCTTAAAAATCGGTCTACTACTTAGTGCATGTAGTTCATCAGAAAGGTTTCCTGTAGCAGTTGCCCATAAAAGGAATAGCCGTTTCTGAAAATGAATAATTAACTTTATGCGCCAAAAGAAAATGATGAGGGCAGGTTAGGCAAGGGAAAAGGAAAACAGTGAAACATTAACGATGGGTCCAGCTCCGGTACGCTTTTTTTATGAATTTAGTGGTAGGGTGCTGCTCCCCATTTGCATTCCATCAGGCCAGGAGTGCCTTAATATAATGGTGCAGTTGATAGCAGTATGTAACTTGCGTAAAATGTTGTCTCTTATTTGTTTCACATAGAGTGATATAAATTTATTCATCACAGAGAGCAGTTGACCCGATCCAGGTTCGAACTTGAGACCTTTCCGAGTTTTCTGTCTCTGACGTTCAGCTGACTGAAGAACCCGTGTCTTAGGTGGCGTACACATTAATAAGCCCGTTACACTAATTTTGGGTTTTCACTTTGTCCGCAAGTCAACGACTTTATCGACTAGTTGAGTTAGAATTGGCGGTTAAGAGATTTTTTTTATCAGGTTTCTTACTTGCTTCGGATTTGAAGGGCAACTTTGTGGCTAACGTAGCATGTGCTTCACTGTTTCCTTCCAAAACAGTCGCACTCAATCAAGTAAACTTACGTTTCACTGCTCAAACCGAATGTTTGTTTACTTTTGCGGGGCAGGTTACTGAGCTGAAAGTTGACGTATGTGTATGTGAAGCCAAAGCTTTAACGTTGATTCACAGTCTCATACCGACTTTTCGATTTACTTCATCTTCTTCCTCATCTTCCATCGCCGCTTCTCCTTTCGGGTCGCGGAGGCAGACTCAAAAGACAGAGCTTCCATAGTTCCCGATCCAGTGCCAGAGTCTGAGATTTGGCAGAGGACAACTGGAGTGTGGAACACACTCCTTCCATATATTTGCACCAGGTTAATCTTGGCCGTCCCCTGGGCCTTCTGCCCGTCGAATTCGCAAGAAACGGTTGCTTAGCCTTCCTTTCTGGAGACATTCGCAACACATGGCTAAACCATCGCAGCTGTGACTTCTTTTCGATTTACTTGTTAAACTTTACTGTTTAAAGTGACTGATTGTGACTGTTAGTTGTATTCCATGCTAATTTAGTTCGAAGTTAGAATCCGCATTGGTGCTGAATTAAGTATTTTAGTATTAGGCCCGGCTTCTGTTTCGTCATAGGTAAATTTTGGGTCAGCTATTACAGCCGCGTTTCGAAACATTTCATACGGTGCAAGTGAGTTAGTCGATTCTGTCATGCCTTCGTCAGATCCAACCTACTATTCTGAAGATAGCACATAATTCAGGTGCCTTATTTAGATATAACAGATTCAATTGATTGCTGTCAATTGTTCTTTTGCTAAAAGTTTAATTTCACTGGTAGTGATAATTCAGCAAGAAGCTAGTCACCAAGTCGCTAAACAATTTTAAGCGAAAAGTATACATATATGATCCTTGCAAATACATTTGCTTCTCAGGAGGTACGGAAATTAATTATTGTCGAATTTTAGGTAGACAACATCGAGAAGGCGGTTGCAACGTTGAAAAGCAAAGGAATAAAGTGTTTGGGTGAGAAGCCGTCTATCGGTGCCCACGGAAAGCCCGTCATGTTCCTTCATCCAAAATCTTGCAATGGAGTCCTGATAGAAGTGGAGCAAGCTTAAGAGATGTCATCTAGGCATGTAACTTTGCTTATTTTTGGTAGTAACCTAGCTATGCAGCGCCATATGATCATTACGGAATTTCAACGCTGATAGGTTGAAGTATGAAGAAAAATAACTTTAAAGGTGCAGTGATAACATTTCTTGACTCTTCTGTCTGTTGATACTGGGCATACGTTAGACCGTTCTAGTGCTATGTCCTTTTGATAGCGTTTTCATCACTCTTGGTTGGATTTACTCGATTGTTTTGCTCCATTGTAATAAAATGTTTGTAATGTTTGCTTGTAAAGTGTCGGTAAATTTTTATAGAGAAGTTCGGCCAAAGGAACTAGGAATTGAGGACTGGCATCATTTGACCGAAAATGGGAATCTGAAGTATTGCTTTTGTCTTAATGAAAGTTTCTCCAAAATGGGGATTATGGCAATATATCAAAATTTTCGTACCGTCTTCAGTAAGGCACGGTGGCATATACACCTACAATAAATTTAAGTGGAGCAAGTTAAGTGCAACAGAATTACCCAATGAACCAGGATCTCTTTGCAGCTTATTTTCAGTGAATGTCCCAGCGATTATTCACTGTATTTGCTGTTTACAATCATCTC